GCTAATATCTGCTAACCAGTTCAATAAATAACAGTGATTACATCGACTTTATAAGATTATTTTAATTTTAAACATTATGTTCTGCTCAGATCACATTGAGCTAAAAAATCTGCTGACCTGTGTTGTGAAATGAGACGTTTTCCTGTTTATCTTCTGTTGGTGAATCCAAAACTCACAATTTTTTCTGGCATTATTTAAAACATTTTTATCAATAGATTTTATATTTCTACATCATCAGTCCTTTTTTTCACTATGTTGCCACACAGTAATGGTAAATCCAGACACTTGCCCATTATAATCAGCCGCTTAGCTTCAACAGTGGATCTTCTGCTCACTCCAGTAGTTCTGTATGACCTCCTTGGGTACATCTTGGACAGGTCGCAGGTCCATCACAGAGACAAACAACCATTCACTCTCTCACTCACACAGGAACAATTTAGAGTTATCAATTAACCTAACAATCATGGTTTTGGTCTGTGGGAGGAAGCCGGAGTACTCGGAGAAAACCCACGCATGCACAGAGAGAACATGCAAACTCTACGCAGAAAGGTCTCCTGGCTGGGATTCCATCTGGCAACCTTCTTTGCTGAGAAGCATCAGCTCTACCAACTGAGCCACTGTTCCACCCGTTTGTCTACGCCCAACCTAAAGCAGGTCAATCATGCGATTCAACTTTCCACATGGTTTTCATCAGATTCAACCAAAGGCTTAGTTTATATTCAATAAACTCTTATAAACTGCATCATTTATTATGGTTCAGGTTAATCTTTGTTTTATTTTATAATTTGCTATGAGTATCATTGGCAAACCATTGCAGAAATACAGCAAACTGTCTGAAAACTTGATCTACTGATTTGACTGAACTTTGTTAATGAAGAAAAGCAATTGCGCAGCACTGAATCAGTCACAAAAGAGTTAGAAAAAAGAAAAGTCAATTTTTGAAAATTTAGCTTTTTTACAAGTTTGGCTTTTTTATAACATTTTTTTGTATTATATTACTAGAGAAAAAGTCCACTCCTGGTCTTGTTGTTGGGAATTGAAGCTGTTTTTGGTTTGTGGAAAACTGCTTGTTTTATGCTCTGGAACCAGAGAGACTGTGGACCTTTAAATCCTACTCAAAAGCACACAATCATGGTGTTAACTGAACCTGGTTAAATCCAAATCAACAAAAATCATTACCTTTAAAAATGATCTATGTTTTTATGTATATAAAACCAACGACTGACCAATCATTGGTTCATTTATGGTTGCAGCTGGTTATAAAACTGGGTTCATCCTGTTCAGATCCTCTCCAGCTTTGATTTCTGTTTCATTTATTATCTTGTATTTCATTGCATGATGATGGTTGACACATCCTAACCAAAGTGCATCTTTATAAATGAAAAGAAAAGTTCTGCACATTAAAAAACAAACAACAACAGAACCTTTTGGAACATAAGGAGCAGATGAAGCTGCTGGTTCCTGTAGTACCGCTGATGGCCACAAGCTGCTCAAAAAAATGTTTCTTTTCCAGTTTCACATGAAAAAATGTTACATTTTCCTGTAATTCAGTGTTGTGATTAGCTGCATTCAGAAAATTTATACACAGTTTCACGTGTGGGTCAGTTTAAGGCCTCAGATATTCATATTTCTGTGTAAATATTTAATGATCACTTCTGATTGGCCTTTACGTTCAAACCTGATTAATTTTGTTTTACAGTTTTTACACAAAATAAACTGGGTGAATAAAGGAGAATAAAAAATAAAAAATAAAAAATCTAAATAAAAAGTTTTCTTTTTTTAGCTCATGTCTTGTTAAATTATAAAAGCAGATTTGGTGCTGAATAAAAAGTATAAACTGCGCAGAATCAAAGAAAAATGAAGTTTATAAACTTTTCCAAAAATACGTTATTTAATTGTGCCTGCAAGTTTTTTTTACTTATTTTAATGTGAAACGACATGTAATTAATTGTTCAACATTTGTTAAATGCTCTCAGCAGCTTTAAAGATGTGATGTTTTTCTAAAATAGTAAATGGATAAAACTCCCAACTGATCTGGATATTTGATCAAATTCAAAGAAACGTCTTAAACTGATGTTTTATAGAGAAGAGACCTGATTCTGACGTCGACACAAATAAAAACGTATCTTCTAGCTGACAGCAGTTTAAAACACAACTTACCCACTCAATGATCAGCTCAGTGTTGGTTCAAAACTCATTTTCTTAAAGTCTAATGTTGACATTCTTGAAAGGTTAAAATGTTCAGGGTTCACATTTTTAGGCCCCAGAAACCAAACCTTTAACTCAGGTCAACATTAAATATCAGAAATATAACTAATGTAACATGAGGCTGAAAGAATCTAAATACATCTCTGAATTTACTGATCCATCAGGTTTGTCTTCCTGACTGCACCTAAGGTTAAAGGTCACATCTAACATCTCAAACAAGAATGATCTGAAAACTGCTGAAATACAAATATAATACAAATATTTATTATCTGAAACACAACTGTTGTTCATTGATGTTAGTAGGCAGGTTTCTGTTATATTTATTATACTTTTCTGTGTTTGAATCATTGCATGTAGTTGAAATAAATATTTAGTGGAGTTTATATCTATTTACAGGAGATACAAGAGGAACAACGCTTCATAATTTACCCCCAAAATCCTTAGAAAAGATTCAGTCTTGTGTTTTTCTTGTTAATTGCAGCATCTGCTTGTTTCTAGGTCACTGTGTGAGTGACCATGTGACACTTCATGCTTTGTTGAGCCAAAGGTGCAAAACTCAGTGTTAAAACTAGAGCTTCATTTTTTTATTTGAGACCAAACTGATCAAATCTTTATAAAGTAAAACCCCTCCAAATGATAATAATAAAATTCATTCTTCAAATATATTTTCTTAAAGAAAAGATGATCAGACTGCAAAAAATGTCAGTTATCTTGACTTACTCAAAAAATGTGTCGTAAAGGAGAGAAAACAAATAAAACATGTTTTAAAAGGTGATTAAGAACAGAAAGCATTGATTCCTCAGTCACACAAAATGGTGACAACGTCCAGTGATGCAGAGAAATAAATATCTGAGTGGAAAAAAAAATAAAATAACATTTTTGAAATTATTCAGCTATTCTGAAGAAAT